TGTATGTATGTATCTGTGTGTGTGTGCGTGCTTCTGTATGGGTGTATGCATGTTGTATGATTATGGATGTATATACGTATTCTCGTATGTATTATATGTCATGCGTGCACGGAAAGCATGTTTGTGTTTGCGGAGGGGTGGGTGGGGGGGGGGGGCATGTCTGTTTGCGATGTATGGAAATTGATTCTACCACCTGGTCATGTAGCAGCTATACAACATTGGGTCCGGGTAGTGTCATGTAATGTGATGCAGCGCAAAGGAACGGAATGCGATGCAATGCTAGGTATATTCATGAAATGCTTTGTAATCTTTATACTGCAACGACATGTAGAGTACTGCAATGTGACGTAATGCACTGCATGCATGCACTGATGTATGTATGTATGTCTGTGTGTAGACAGGTTGGTTGGTAGGTCGGCGGTTTGGTAGGTTGGCAGGTTGGTGTTTATATGCATATATGCACTCCAGCCCCACACGCACTCTAGCATGCGCCTGCATGTGCACTTGCACGTTCTCTCTTCTGCATTCATGCTCCATGTGTCTACTGGGTGTTCACATGCATGTGAACCGTGGATGTTGATTGCCTGTGCAGGCACAGCAGCATGCTGTCGCATATTGCACTTACACATCTGTGCCTGCAGGCCTGCATACTGACGTTGATGACCGTCGTACGCATCAACACAACGATATGTACGCAGAGGACACGCGTCACACACACACACACATTTGCAGGCCTTCGACAAGACAGCCGTGAAGCCCCGGCAGCGTCGCTGATTGACCAACTCATACAGAAGCCTCACCATGTGTGGGAAGCAATGGCAAAAGACAAATAGATTGGTTGAAATTACACATAGCTGCCAACAAGCCTGAACCAGACAGGAGTCGGGCGGGCCGCAGCGAAAAGAAGTGGACCGGGAGACAGGGAGATCGTGCATGTTGCAAGCAAACAGCTTTAAATGGAGCGGAGACTGTACAGTATTGATGGGGGTGGCTGCATGATTACGCTGAACCTCTAAGTCCAAGCCTTTGGGGGTTGGGTTTTTGAGTTGCGATTCTTCAGCCGTCCAGCGCTGTAGATAAAGCCCTGTGTTTGCAGCTTCTGGGACAGCTTTCATAGGAACCTATATTCAGGAGTTGCACGACTGCATACATCTACACCTTACCAGCCAGGTCTTCGAAAACCGTGTACAACAGCGCAGAGTTCGTGCCAAGTGTTCAGAGAAGTGTCAACTGCAGCTTCGCAAAAGCGTCTGCCTGCTGCCGCCTGCAGTCCCAGGACAAAGTGCCAAGGCATAGGAATCGAAGTGATTATTATACTATCCCTGCTTAGTCCCGAGTGTCATCATGGTATATGACCACACCACCCCTTAAGCCCCATTATGGCTGGCCCCTGCCCACTTAGCATTCTTGTTACGACTGCTTTATTCGCCATTGGCACATCCCATCTACAACATATCTTGAAGCGACAGTGGTCTCCATGACTAAGAAGGCAGCAATCACGTGTTGGCATCAGCTACCTGCATATCATCGCTTTGGGATTAGGGATTGTGCCTAGCCAACCGGAACCTGCAGAACTGAATCTGTGTTCTTACCTGAAGGGCATCGTCAAAAGTAAATCGTGTGCTTGCTCCAAGCTACTCGTTGTTTCAGAACTGGTTGTTTTGCGGGTGCACCAACAGTATTGGGACAGCCGGACCCTTCATCTCGTCAACCACTCTTTAGTCGGCCTGCACGACAGTGTACAGAGTCTGTGTTTGGGCCATGGCAAGCAAAGAGCTGACAGAAGAAGGCCGGCGCGAAGGACCAAACACTCGCCACCGAACCCTTCGGGAGGACTCTGCTGAGATGCAGTCCGAAATCTGCCAACTCCTGGCAAGTCCTCCAAAGTAACCTACTATCACGACTGCACGATGCCCGGCTCCCCGGGAACCTACTTAAGTAATCCCGACCACGCCGGGAATGGATACCCGAATTCAAGCCTGGCTGAACTGTCAAGAGCGCCCGTGCGTGCCCAGGGGATGCAGATACCTGAAGTTGAGAGATCCTGGCTCTTGCGAGGTGCAGACAACCTCCTGGCGCAGCTAGACACCGCGTACAGGTGTGGTCCAAATCATTTGGGGCAAGGGCAATTGCGGTTCAGGCGGTGCAACAACGCTTTTAAGATTCTGGTGATCTGCTGCTGTTGACGAGTCTGGTTGGCATGGTTGTGACTTTCGCCCCAAGTTTGCACTTGAAGCCCTACTCCCCTGAAGCCCATCCTGCCACAGGCGTGTGGAGGAGTCGCAGGGCAGCAGAGTAAAATTGGAGCCGGGACCTTGGTCGTTTAGGCTTCAGCACATGCCTGGATCACGTTTCTTGCTGGACGGTGCGCTATTCCATCATTCCGCAATTGATGATGTGGAGCGAATGTTGACCAGAAGAACCAGCTTAAACGCGAAACAACGTGGTTTGCCTCGCAAAGGCGAAAGATTAAAATTGATCGCCCGGTCCTGAAGTCCAAAACAGACAGCGGAGGTCCCGAACCTCGACAAGTGGGCAAAGACGAAGCCATGCGATAGTTCCAGAAAACACGGAACCGAGTCTTGACAACGAGTTGCATGACCTTTGGTATATAAGAATGTATGATTATAGCCGAAACAACCAGGGAACCCCCTGATTTTTTGGACTGGCACTCTCACGACGATTGCATGGAAGCCTTGCAGGTCAGCAGAGATCAACCTGTTGAAGGTGCTGGAGCAGGCCCTCCTTTGGCGTGGCTATTGGTTTAAGGTTTAGGGTTTAGNNTAGGGTTTAGGGTTTAGCGGCCTCTGTGGGCTTAGACTTAGGGTTCAGGGTTAACGGGGGCTTATCGGTGCAGCTACGAGTTCAGACCCCAATGAACCAGACACCGCAGTCTGCCATACCATTAGCCCTTGAAGGCCTCACACACTGCTGCCTACTCAAGTTTGAACGGCTGCCTGCGAAGGATTAGGCAATGATGTGCAGGTTGTTTCTGTAAGGCTTGGATCAGCCGCATCTCCAGCAACGATAGTGCCGAAAAGTTGTCAATCATCCTATCCCATCACCATCTGGCACGGGGGCAGGCCCCAAAATGCAGCAGACCTCAGAGACTCACAGAAGCAAAAATCAAGCCGACGACATCCATGGACCTGCCTGTTGAAAGCTGAAGCCTCGGTCAGCCCGAATCGCTGAACTAAGCCCAAACACCGACAAACAGACATACTCTGGTCCTCTCGAAGGCACGCGACATGCTCACCACTGCGCTGATGGCTTCCGCAGATCGGGCAGCACTGAAGGAAATCTTCGGTGGCTTGCCCTTATAAGTGTCAGTGTGATTGTAGTTGCCAGTGTTACCAGGATTCATGTTATCATTATCACAGTTAATTACCGTGTCTTGCCACGTATTACCTGGAGCTCCACTTTAGATGTGCTAATTGAGGTCCCAGAGTACGGGCTGCAGAGACATGAGAGTCCGAGAGGCCTTCAACACCAGGACAATTACAGCTCAGGACCGACAGGGCCTGTCAGACATGCTGTGCACCTCTTCCAGGTGGTTCTTGCCGCAGAACTGGCAGAATTCGTGCCGTTCTTGACGCCGCCCAGCCAAGCTTGCATGGTTACAGTGCCGGTAGTTCAGATGCTACTACATGCGCAACACCTCGAAAGAAGCCTTGCTAATCCTAAGCCTGAGCCTTGTAATTGACAAGTGCAAGAGCCTACTGTTGAAGTTTTTGAGGCTGCCGACCCCCAGGCTTTGTGAGATCAAGGAAGCTAGCATGCCTAGATTGGTTTTGCACGATAATGCAGACGACAACTAAACGACGGTCCACCAACAGGGCCTGGGGATGCCTTAGGTCTAAGGCAGGCTGATGGCCATTCCCTCTGTAAGCGTGTACTGAATGAAGGGTTGGCTGTCTGTGAATCTGGAGAGCCGTTCGTCATGTGCTGCAAACATCTTCTCGCACCTAACTTCCCACCATGTCCCACCACCAAAACGAGCCTGGATGCCCAAACTTTCTGGGTGCCAAGGTAAGCTAACGGTGTGCTAATCCTTTGGGGATAAGGCAGACGGTCAAGATCCAGATCGGAACGCAATTTGCGTGGAGTCATATCCATTTCAAGCACAGACCAGTCCAAACAAGTAATTTGCACCCCACATCATTTGTGCTTGATAGATTCACCTCCGAGCGGGTCGTTGACCCACGGCTCATGGGTTGCCAGATCCCCAGGATGTCCCATCTGTTGTTGGAGTCGTTTGGGATACGCTACAGCCAGCACAGATACTGTTCGATGGTATTGTTGACATGACCGGGTTGTCACATTGCCCCTCTGTAGTCTGTAGGAAGTTTAAGGACCGACATACCACTACACCACGACTACTGCCAACCGCCACTGCCATTACCACACTACCACTACCACGACAAGGACTGCCACGACCACCACCGCCGCCGCCAC